CAGGATGTCTTTTCCATGACTTTACGCTTTTCAATGAGAAGCACATCTAAAAAGCAATTGAATTTACTGGTAGTTGGAAAAATATGCGAAACACCAAGACTTCAAATTATTTGAAAACGTAACCCTGCCTCTATGCTTTATAAATGTTCTACGTGTTTGCCACCTCGATATTCCATAATCCAAGATGGCCGCCGTATCAGTAAAAAGGTCTACTCTTTCATCACCTTTTGCGTGCGGTATTACTGAACAGAGCATGGCAAAATCTGTGGTAATAGATCTTTAAAGCTTCGRTTTAATGTGCTTTCCCATTTCGGACCACGTGCCATTCTCTTCAAAATAAGTTTCTTTGTTTGAGTCGTATCCATATTCATGTGTCTTCGCATATACAACCTTTCAACGAAGAAATGATAATCTAGGGAATGAGATGTGGTCTGAAATGGGAAAACATTAAGCCAAATATGAATGATTCTATTGGATCGGAAAAACCTTCCCAGTATTCACTCATTCATTTCCATTTTCTTTCAGATCACTGGTCGCTCTTTCTCTCATTCTCTCCCTTCTACTTTTCAAACCCGCACCACTGTACATCCTAGACGAGGTAGACGCAGCCCTCGATCTCTCACACACCCAGAACATCGGTCAAATGGTAAAATCCCACTTCAAACATTCCCAGTTCATCGTAGTCTCACTCAAAGACGGTATGTTCAACAATGCCAATGTTCTCTTCAAGACCAAGTTCGTCGATGGCGTCTCCAGAATGACTCGCTACGTGCAGAATCCATCAAGCCGTGGAGGTGACCATACAACGGGCAAAACCACAGCCAAGTAGGGTCAAGATAGATCAAAGAGAGTCAGGATAGATAAGACGCCACAGCCACTGACCACCACTCAGTCTTTAACGTTTTCCTAGATCTACTTCTTTGCGACCGTCAGTCACTTTCAGCATACAATACTACGGAAAACCTGGAGGGACATTTCAGACTTCAKACTTCAGCCAGCGCTGCCCAGCCTTATGTTTGCATTTTGCAAAACTCAAGCTTTTTTCTTTTCGAGTTTCAAATTGTGGTCGAATATCAATCATCCGGCTTGATAGTTACATCCAGGTTCTAATGACTTCACTGACATTCACTGATTTATAATTTCAGACTTCAGAGTTGATGCCTGATCGTCAGACTTCRGAGTTGAAGCTTAAACTTCAGACTTMAGAGTTGAAACTTCMGATTTCAGATGATAATAAGTAAATTCCAAAATTGAAATTGCTTTGTTTGGCGACACTGCGTTAGCTCGGCCCTAGGGGAGGGGAAATGGGAGGACGGGAGAGGGTAGAGAAAAGAGGGCTAAAAATTCTGCACAGTTACATGTTGATTTTCGAACGAACGTTGCGCGAGAAGTTATAACTCGTGTAACTTGTATTAAAAATCGACGAGTCGTATCGCGAAAAATCACCAGGTCACGCACGATTTCCAAGAATCGTAAAATAACTCAAAAGAAACCGATAAAAAATGCTCCCCCTAAATTGTGCATTCATGGCGTCACAACATTTCAAAGAAGTAATTAGGTCACACTCATTTCCAAGAATCGCCTGACCAAAGACTGACAAACAACATTATTCAGACAACTCCCTCACCTCGCCTCAACTCCCGAATACATGGAATCGTTTGTTGAAGATCTTAAAAAGGAACTCCGATGTTCCCTGTGTAATGATACTTTCACTGAACCAAAGATCTTGTCTTGTTTCCACACATTTTGTAAGCCTTGCGTCAAACGACACGCCGAGCAAGTCCACCAAATCAACATCTTCAAGTGTCCGCGATGCAAATCACATACCTCTCTACCAGAACTAAGCAGCGTCGA